TAGTTTTTTTTTGTGCCCGCCTGCGTATGTGTGCGAGAAAGTAATACTTTTTACAACAAATAACGCGCTTTGAGGTCGCGGGCTTCATGTACATCAATCCTTTGGCTGTTGTTCGTTTAGCTTTTAGCTTTTACTTTTCTTTGCGCTACACTTTTAATGGCAACTAAAAGTCATTTCACTGGAGGAGCCCTGTCCCTGGCCCAAAGACTCCTACATACGCAAATTACATATTATATTTTGGATAGACATTCCTCAAATCTTGCATTAAAGAGTAGCAAATACCTCTTTTTGGACATTTTCGAATAGCAAACTTAAATCGAATAGAATATAAATGGCATAATAACAGTTGTTACATAAGCTGCATAATGTAAAATAATTTTATAGGTTGACAAAAAAAAAGAAACAGCGATAAATTAATAGAAATAATGTTGCTTTAATTATTTAATGAGTTTGAAATATATGTGCTCGTATAGCTTGGTCAGAAGAAAGGACCTTTATTTATTTATTTGCTTATTTATTTTATGCAAGGTCCTCGCAATTCTATATGTTTAAGTATTGGTTAAATTTTGTACCCTTGCAGTCGAGTCGATGCAGTTCCTATATGCCAAGCTTTGGAATATTTTCTTATACAACTCAAATGGAACAATTGATTGATTCTTTGTCAAGATACATCTGCTTCCTTGTTTTCGTAATATCTTATAAGAAAAATAAATTAACTGTATATAGTCGTTCTATTGAATTTTCCACTCGCTGTAAGTCTGTTGGAAAGCTCACATCGTTTGGGGCATTCCGAAAAACTGCAATAAGAACGTATCTTAAGGCCATTTCGACAACAATGTGAGGCAAAACTGGCCAGTGATGTGCCATCGTGTTGCCAATGGCAAAACATAATGTTGAATATTTTTTGGGAAGCACTTTCCGCTTGTTGGTGTTGTTGTAGTTGTTACTGTTGTTGTTAAGCATGAGCTTCATACTGAGTATTTTCAGCATGAGTTGTTGTTGATTTAATTCAAGAGGCAATGCATTTTACAGTCGAGTGTTCATATGAAAAATGTACAGCAATTCCAGTCAGGACTTCTGCCCACTTATGCTTTTATCCTTTTTATCAGTGCCATTGTTGTTTTGGATGATGCTGTGAGGTATTTGCGGGACGAGGCACTTGGACTAACAATGGACTCTGATAGCCGCTGCTTTTATAGTAGTTATTGCTGTTGTTGTTAGTGTCGGTGTTGGTGTTGGTATTGGTGTTGGTATAAGGAGGTACAAGTGGCAGTGTAACATAATTTCCGTTGAAAATACATCAAATTGCGCCAACGTTGTAATCCTGCTTTGCATGTGCTTGTATTGCAGCCAGGACTCGGTGAGTGGCATACACACATGGGCAATTGGTGTGGTTAGTTAGCATCTGTGTTTATATTTGTATTTGTGTTTGCATTTGGTGCCACCACTCATACCAATACACAGACCTTCATACAGTAGTAGGAGGCCGCACACACACATGTCCATCACATTTGGCTTTGGTGTGTGCTTTAGTGTTTGTTGCCCACTCGGTAAAGTGTATACGTGTGTGCGTTTTGGTTTTTTTTTTGTTGCCAACGATTTGGCCTGGCACATTTGTGTTTGTTTAGCTACTTTTGCGGTTTGCCGCTTCGCGTACATTTCAACCACATTTGTAGTCACTCCGGTTTCAGTTCGCGCATTGGACATATGCCAAAATATATGGCCTAGCACAGAAAGCGTGGAGGAGTAGCGTGGAGGCTATAGAGGCTACCACAACATTCTATTACCACATGCTTCACTTGAGTTCACTTTACACTGACTGCGTCCAAATGAAGGTAAACACTTGCCGCAAAATTTATGCATACCAAGTGCAGCCTGAACCCCCATATAACTTCCACAGACTCTTGTTATTTTTGGTAAATATGCAGAAGGTTGGAATACAGCTGCTCTTGTAAAACAATACAATTCCAGCTAAACGCTTGTAAAAATAATTAAATTCATAAATGCTTGACTCACAACAAATGATGTAGAGTTCTATAAATAATACAAAATATAGCTGTGCTTAATTAAATGCCAAAATGAGGGGCCCGACAGCCTCTTACTGACGTCATCTCGTAAACAGTCTCATTGGATTGAACGAATGGCTAACCGACGCGCAATGGCTAAAGAGCGATAATGGCAGCCAAATTAAAGCAAATAATGACAACAATTCGATGGATATTCACAAACACGGGGCGTATACGCAATTTGATGATGTTCGCAATTCAATTACGGGCGACAATTTGACCAATTTGGAAGAGGCCAAATTAAAGCTAAACCGAGAGAGCTACGCTGGAATTTAATATAATAGGGACGCCGAGGCACGCCCACTGCCCAGCAAGTCCCAGAGGGCAGACTGCAGCACGTATTTATTAGCTGAGTTGCATTGATGAAGGTCGCTCTCCTCCTTCCTATTGCTCACACACTACATTTCTATCTATTTGGCCCGCTTTCTCCCTCTCCCACTCTACCCATCACACTGTGTTGGTCCCAGGTCGCTGATTGACTCACGATTATGCAATAAAACAGCAGACTAGGACGAGAAAAGCAGCGGGAATGGTTACAGAGACAATGCCCAGCAGGCTGCCAAAGCACTGGTGTTTGTCTCTGGGTGTGTGAGAGTGTAAGTGTGTGTGTGTGTGTGTGCGCATCAGTATTTCGTTGGCTTCATTTCAACGCCAGCTTTTCAAAAAGCTAAAACTTTTTTATGTCCAACTCATTAAAAATGTGCGTCAATGGACTTTATGCAGACTCGCAGCGGCCACGCCCTCAAAGCCTTCGCTTTTGGGAATTTTGTTGGGATTTTGGTTCGTTTGCTGTTTGCCGAGGATTTCATGAATGGGCCAGGCGAAAGCCGCGCAAACAACCAAAAGTAGCGGCAGCAGGAGCAGCAGCTAAATGCAATTTCCAAGTTTTTAATGTGCGAAATTTCTAATTTAAGATTTACGATATTTTTATGTTGAATTACATTTCCTACCCCACAGCCACTCGCCGCTCTCCTAGTTTGATGTTCGCTCATTTTCGAATTGTTGGTGTTTGGCTGCGAATTCACTTCACTTCGCCTTGCTTTGTTTAGCTTTATGCCCTGTTTTGAAGTTTGGCCTTACTTTTATGTTCCCCACCTACCGTTCTTAAAATGTACGCAATGCGTTGTCCAGATTGCAGGCGATTAATTGTTGGTCCCATGTTGTCCCGTCAAATAGAAGGAAGCATAGGTCAGTGAACGCAGCTTTAATGCAGTTTTATGTACTGGAACTTAATTGGCCAACATATCAGATATCATATCATGACCAAATCCTTTATATTGTTGGCAACGTTGATTAAATTGTTTTCGGCTGACCAATTGACCAAATTCTGCGAAAAAATTCGCTGTTGTTTGAATACGTTTCGGAGTTTATGGCCGGTTGTTTATGGTCGAGCTTGTTGTTGTGGGGCGTGTTACGAGTTTTTCAGCTGCAGTTTATCTGTTTCGGGGCAATAAATTGTGGGTTGATACAGATTTAGTTGTACAGTAGAGAATGTCGGAGATACTGAGATTGCAGAAAATGAATTGGATGTGAATTTTTGTATATGATTAATAAAGGTAAATAAGCTAACGCAAAGTTAGAGCCAAAAAGCGGTTAGGCTGTAACCCTATTTATTTGCAATATTGGGATTCCTAATCTTTCCTTAAAATTAGCCAAACAAGGTATAAGCAACTGCAATAAGTCATTAAGTTTAAGTAGCCTTTAATCAACCCTTTGCATTATCGTAAAGCGTTAAGTTTCACAGATTTCAGAACATGACACATCGGGCAGCAGAATTCAGAGCAAGCCACTTGTGCAAAGTGTTAGAGTTTCCACCCAAAAAGAAACCACAAAAACCGTATCTCAATTGCAATCACTCAAAACAACGGAAATGACGCTTAGCACAACTTCCTGCCGTTTAGCCGGACAAATGGACGAGCGCGTGCCGAGCCACGGGACAACGCGCAGCTTAAACGTGGAGAAAACCAGCTGCAGACACGAAAAACCGAATTGTATAAGGAAAAGGCAAGGGTAGGGTAGGAAGGGCATCAATGCCGTGGGAGCTGCTGCCTGGTCAACTCATGGCCCATGGGGGATGTACGTTTTTTGGCATATTTGTCAACGCTGTTTCCATTGCTCATGTTCACAGTGCAACACACAGCAATGAGCGCCACGCCCACCATTCCATTCATACACTTGCCGCTGTCGCTACCGCTGACTGACACATTCAAGTGCAATTTCCTTGTAATACGAAACTATGTCATTTTGGCACGGATGCGGGCCGAAAAGCCGGCAACAAGAACAACACAGGAGACGAGTGGACCAGCTGAGATAGAAGAGAGAACTGTTACACCTGCGAGTTCCTGCATACAAACATGACACGTCGCCACACCTGGGCGGCCCACCTGCACCAGCCAACAGTCCACCCGCTGTTGGCACGTTGCAACCGAGGCGACAGCTCTTGTTGGACGTAGGAGTATATATTCCTGTATCTGTGGCTGCCAGCTGGTTTGTCTAAAGTAGCCGAAGCAACAGCATCTCTTCTGAAGTGTCGACCAGAAATGCCGCTTGCCAAACGAGTAGACAACGTAACTAAGCCGGACGTTCGGATGTACGGCTGCAGGCGACGTGGGAAGGGGAAAAAGCAGCCTGACAAGCGCCATTTGGTAATGTAAGGCCCAAAATCAGCCACGAGTCGAGATCCAAAACCAGCCCAGACAGTGCATGCACAATTGCAGGTTGCGATTTCAGCAACTGGCAACTGGCAACTGGCAACTATCAAGCGGCAACTGTTGCCTAGGATTCTCATGTGGGCCTCTTAAGTGTGCGTCAAGTGTTTTGCCCTTAGGCTTAAGCTGATGAGTTTTGGTTGCCAGCCGTTTAATTAGTTTTAGTTCAACTTGTGAGCGTTCTCCTTCTAATTGCCTTTGTATTTTGTCTCCTTTGTCATTGCAGAACAATTTCACATCTTTGTGGGCGATTTGAGTGCTGAAATTGAAACGCAACAGCTGAAAGACGCATTCACGCCATTCGGAGAAATATCGTAAGTTCAAATCTTCCAATACAATTGCTCCTATTTAAAATCGTGAGGAAATGAGATTCAAAAGAAAAGAATGAGAAAGTAAAATAAGAAGTAATACACAGTTATATGCTGAAGAGCTTAATATATAACCCAGTCGAGATAAATACATTTGAGTAGTTAAAACAAGGATATCAGAAGGATAATGTTTTGAACATATCAATTAAAAATAATAATATATGCTTGACCTGTTAAATTAATTTTCCTTAAAATAACATTCATATCAGTCTTAGAGGCCAAACCATATTGATTGCAAAAAGATGAAAATATTTCATTGGCCACAAATTATATCGGAAAAGAAGCAAGAAATTGGGCAAATGGGTTGGCTGTAAGCCCTCTTTATTTGATAAACATGGAAATTAATTTTATATTTCAATCGGCATTTACCGCTGTTAATTGCTTTTTCATTGCGACGGCGATTGGGGGACGTAAGTAGGCCAACAGCCCAGTTTGGCCGTTTGGCTATTGCGACAGCAGCAACGAATTGAATTTGGCCGGGCGCATTAACTTCAATCAAAGAACATTTTGCGGCACTTGTGCAATTATTAAATAAATAAACAAGAGCCAAATGACGTGGCCCGGTCGAAGCTATTCCCCAGCAGCAACAGCAGAAGCAGAAGCAGCGGCCGCAGCCGCAGCCTATGCACGCTTTATTTATGAATAATTAGCAAGCCATGGGGGCCAGAGCTGTGGAAAGCCACAGAATGTGGCGCCACAGCAACGAGCAGGTTATTTTGGCATTTTTTCTGTTCTCCTTTTTCTTTTTGTTTATTTATTTTATTTTTTTTGTTCGAAAAGCATAAAATGAAGACCCAGCCATGGCAAGCGGAGCTGTGTCGGAGCTTCGAGCAACGGGCAATAAATTAATAATTTAATTTTCGACTTTTATGTTTGAGCCGACAACAACAAAATGCAGCGGCCCCAATGCTGGCGAGATGAAAACCGCAAGCGGCGACGCGGCAGCAAACAAAGCGAGCCAAATGCACCCCAAAAAATGGGGCGAACATAATATTAGAGCAGAGCAAGTGAAAGCAAATAAAAACCTGATTTATTCGTTGAGCGAAAGGACTCGTGCCACGCCTACAGCCGCCTACAGCCGCCTACAGCCGCCTGCCGCCCACAGGTCACTGGCAAACGACTCTTTCGCACTGGCGTCGCTGTCGTCACACTGGGAAGCCCCTTAATTTGGAGCGTGTTTTGCTGGCTTTTCATTTGCCACTTTCTTAATTAATGAGCAGCTGCCGGGCCACGCCGTGCCGCGCCATGCCACGCCGTGCCACGCCCCCTGTGCACCTGAACCAAGCCCGCAAGTTGTATGCGCTAATTTCTTTGAGATTTCGCAAACGGCAGCTACAAAAGCTGCTCTCATTAGGTCCAATGCTCCGTCAGCCACTATTTATTTATTTAACATTTTATGGGCCTTTTTAAGTTTCTCCCGTTTGCTGCTTGCTCATTACGCTGCAAGCAACCCGGCAGCCCAGCAGCCCAGCTGCCCGGCGAACCGCCCGGACACGCCCCCTTCCGCTGAAGTGAGCCCTGAGGCTGTCAAATAGTTACATTTTCCGCGTGTTTATTTTTGTGAACGCAAATCTACGAAATAATTACATTTTTCATTTGCACCTGAAGTGGCTGCCTGGGGGCAAACGTTGGGTGTTTCGTTATTTGATTTTTAGCGTCTTGAAGGACGCTCGCGAGCTGCTTCATCAGAATGTCCTGCCCGTCTTCGTTGGCGGCCTCGCGTCGTCCTCGCGTCATCGTCGTTGTCGCACTTAGCCGTAGTCTCTGGCTTTAGCTTTTAATTTATTGCTCTTTATGTTTTGAGTGCCCGCGTGGGAAATAATCGCAAATGTGCTGGCGCTGCCAGCGTCGCAGTCGCCGTCGCTGTCGCTGTCGTCGTCACCGTCGCTGTTGCCTGTTTGCTAACGGTTTTACCTACTTTTCATCAGGTTAACAACACTCATGGGTAGATTTTTCATTTAGTCGCGCATAAGGAGCAAAATTTATACAACAATTTTGCTGCTGCTGCTGCTGCTTCTTCTTCTATTTTTTTAATTAACTGAAAGTTTCTTTGCATATACTTTGTTCCCTGGCCAACAACAACAATACCAACAGCAACAACCTTAATAAATACAGATGTGTGTATGTTTTGTATACGTGTGTGTGTGTGTTGCCGTGGTTTTAAATAATGACAGCACAAGTTCTTATGTAAATTTATAATGCCTTAAAGTTTTCTGCGGGTTTCTGTTGCCATGAAAACTTCTCCAGAAGCTGGTTAAATGTAATTTCATAAAATCCAACTTCAATGGGGCTCAAATATAATCCTTTATTCCATTCATATGTATCGCTTCTGTTGTAGCACATTTAATCAGGCAAATTACTTGGCTCCTATCTATTTATTGGCCATAATGCGTTCTGTGCATTATTAGCTCACCAGCAGAAACGGTCTGGTGCTAATTAAATAAGCCCAAGATATTTTTGGCTTAGATAAAATAGCAGTAATCAGAACTGTGTCTGTCCGATTGTCATTGGATACGGCAGATAATGGCCATAAAGCACATGGCCAAACTCTTGCACATAACTGCGCAGGCTCGATTCGCCACAAAGCAGACGTCTCTCTGACATGGCTAATAAATAATTCGGCTATTCAATGAAACTCGAGTGGACCGCAACCTCATGAAACAAAGTCCAGGCCAACAATTAGCCCGAACCAATCGAACCAGCTTCGGGTGGGTGCAGCACAAAACTGAATTTTAATTATACGCCCGCGGTGATCCTCTGATTACCGATGCTTGTTGAGCTGTTTGCCTGGATGCAACCGAGTAGGCGCACTTATCGAAAAGGGGGCTATGCGGCTGATTAATTACATGCAATATATTTATTACGTGGGGGTGGAACGGGGCACTCATAAATGTGCCTATCATAAATAAGCAAGTCAGACAAATGGGAGAGACGCACACACGTACACCCAGCCAATGACAGCCTTGATTAGTCTCGGATTCTTATCAGCCAGTCACTCTAGTGTATTGTTAGCAGCATTATTAGTCACATTTCTTTCGATGCCTATCACACGCTCTCATTTCTATGCATTAGCAGGGACTCATAATTGAATAACATTTTTCTGTAGCATACTTTTGTGCGCCCCACAATTGACAGTCGCCGCAATTGTTGCTGTCCTGTTTATTGCTGGCAACGAAAGGCTTAAATTGGCTTTTGGGCAAACTTCAACAATACCAAATGCGGCAACAATAAGAAACAGACACACACAGAAACTTGCGGCTGCTACAGCAAGGTGGGACAAGAACGTGCCACAACGCCAAAGAAAAACAAATCAAACAAGATAATAGCTGAATAGAGGCTCCAGCAAATGGAAATAAAACTCGCTCGCTTGCGCTCTCCATTTTTTCGGTTAGTTTTAATGATACTTGAGAAAGTTTTGATTTTGTACATTTGGTACAGCGTACCCCTGGCCGTATGCCTGGCGCTGCCGTTGACATCATTACGTTGATTTTTCTTAGTGAACGGACTTACATACAAGTAGCTGCTGCAGTTCGCCGGCGCTTAGGCAACAGCTCTGAATTGAGGCGATGCTGAAAATGAGCAAAACTTTCAACTTAATCTATTCAGAAAGTTGGCTTTGCAGCCGCCGCCGCCATCGCCACCGGTTCGGCGGCTGCTGTTTCATAAACTTCAAAATGCGCTTGTGCACGTCGCGCAGAGTTGCAGAGTTCGACTTGAAGCTGTTGGCTGGAAACGGAAACCAATGATCGGCGACAAGTGGGCGCCAAGCGACTGATGGAGCTGCTTCCACTCCTGGCTGCAGCAGCGGAAATGGAAATGGAAGAAAAAGTTGTGCTCGTCGCTCTAAGTAGGCGTCGGCTTTTGTCACGACGCGGCGAATGACAAATCAAAATCGCATTCAAATGCGACGCGGCGTGCAGCGGAAGTTAATGCGAAAAACTTTGGCCCTAGAGCCTGCACAATCAGTCAGTCAGTCGGGCGGCAGGCAGGCAGGCAGGCAGCTACTTGCTTTCGCACTCGCTCTGGCTCCTGCGCCCGCCCAAATCTTTGCTGGGTGTGAAAAATGAGTCTTGCGACTTTTGTTGCAGCAGCGAACGCAGCAACCGCAAAAGCCTGACACTTTTTCACGCTGCCTGCAACAATTTATTTTTGTTGGCAAGTGTCAAAAGTTGTTCTATGCCAAAAAGCTGCATATAAAAAGCGACCCTAGTACGAGCTTTATATAGATATGTATTTGTATAAAAGTAGTCAAACTTCCGCTTTAAAACGGTACTTCATTAAACGCAAATTAAAAGTATTGCCGAAAACCCAAAACTGTCAGCATTTAAATTGAAATAGGCCAAACGGCTGCCGCGCATAATCTTTTTAATATAATTTTAATGGCCGCTCGTTGAAAAGTTTGGCCCCAAACAACCAGCCAGTCAGCCAAATCATTAAATAGCAAACAATTTTCAATTTGTACAGATTTTGTATCAATAGGAGAGCCAAGCGCTCTAATGTTTAGATAATAGACAACAGATCCGTTCAGCTTTGGGTCTGGGAGGGGCACAATATAAATTTATTTAATTTACTTTTGCCCGGCAGCAACTTTATGGCAACAACTTTTCACATAAAATACGCATTAATTCATTAAAATTGACAAAAAGGCAAAACACAAGTGCCAAACATGGTTGGCAGCCATTGGGCAAGCACTGTGCCAACCTCTGCGCTTGGCAAGCGGCTAACTGAATGACTGACTGATTGACTGACTGACTGCCTGACTGCGACAGACCTGGACAGGCTTTTACACCCATTGTCCTGCGACGGGGTCCAACTAAACGGCTCGCAGTTGGCAAGCCAAACAATTTACAAGGAGCCGCCCCCAGCCCTCCTGCAGCGGCTAAAATATATAAATAAAATTGCTTCGGTGCGCAATGAAGAGCCCGACGATGGGTGCCGTCACCATT